AAGTTCCGTCATCCTTGTGCTTGCTTCTACCTCCGTCTATGGAATTGTTATTTTCATTCTCACTTTCAAGCAACAAGGGGTCCACATTGTCAAACCAAATGTCCGGCTTTTCCTTGGGTACTGGCTCTTTTCTCTTACCATCCCCAGCAGCCATTTTCTTTCGGTTATGGTCTTTCTTTTCTCTAGAAATGCCATGTGGATTGGATGCCTTGTGCTGTTTCTCTAAGATCTGAAAGAAGGTGCAATGGGGTACGATTTTTAATTCAACTGCATTGATAAAGAATCTGAAAGTTTTGATAACAGAATTAATATACATTCACAGTTTTAAATGCATGGTATGTATTACCACAATGAGGGGGAGAGGAGTTGCTCAGGAGTGAGGGAGGAGGAGGAGAGGAGGAGCAGGAGGAGAGGAGGAGGAGGAGGAGGAGGAGGAGGGAGGAGGAGGAGGAGGAGGAGGAGGAGGAGAGAGGATGGAGGAGGAGGAGGAGGAGGAGGAGGAGGAGAGGGAGGAGGAGGAGAGGAGGAGGAGGAGAGGAGGAGGAGGAGAGAGGAGGAGGAGGAGGAAGGAGGAGAGAGAAGGAGGAGGAGGAGGAGGAGGAGGAGGAGGAGGAGGGAGGAGGAGGAGGAGGAGGAGGTAGAGGTAGAGGTAGAGGTAGAGGTAGAGGTAGAGGTAGAGGTAGAGGTAGAGAGGTAGAGGTAGAGAGAGGTAGAGGTAGCGAGGAGGAGGAGAGGGGAAAGAGGAGGAGAAGGGGAAAGAGGAGCGAGGACAAGGGAAGGAGGAGGAGAGGAGAGGAAGGAGAAGAGAGAGAGAGGAGGCAGGAGGAGAAGGAGAGGAGGAGGAGAGGAGAAGGAGAGGAGAGCGAGAGGAGGAGGAGAAGGAGGAGGCGAAGGGAAGGAGGAGGAAGAGGAGGAGGAGGAGGAGGAGGAGGAGGAGGAGGAGGAAGAGGAGGAGGAGGAGGAGAAGAGGAGGAGGAAGAGAGGAGGAAGAGGAGGAAGAGGAGAGGAGGAGGAGGAGGAGGAGGAGGAGGAGGGAGGAGGAGGAGGAGGAGGAGGGAGGAGAGGAGGAGGAGGAGAAGAAGAAGAAGAAGAAGAAAAGGAGCAGTGGTGGTGGGGGAGGAGAAAAGAGTAGGGAAAGGGAAAGAGGAAAAAGAGTAAATGAGGAGTTGGAGGAAGGTGAAGAGTAGGAATTGAAAGCAGCAGCAGGTAAAAAAAAAAAAAAAAAAAAAAAAGAGAACGGATGATTGCAGACTCTCAGGAGAGAGAAAAAAAGACCTTACCATCTTTAATTGCATCCAATTTGACGAGAATTGTTTGCCCGTTTTGACAGGTTCTTTAGGATTGCTTGCACTGCTATCAGCTGTGGAGCCATTCTGAATTCCATCCTCCTTCTTCCGCTTCAAGGGTCCTGAGGCTTCATGGTCATCCTCAAGGGTCCTTTTCGTTGTAGTGTTTGTAACTGGAATGCTACCATTGGCCCTCATTTTCTTCTTCTTCAAGTTTTCCCTCCACTTGCATTTTTTTTTACTGGTTTTCTTCTCCTTACTGTGGTTCTCAATTGCTCCGTTCTGTGTTTTACCATCACCATTTAAAGTTTCACTAGCATCCGTTTCACTTAAATGAACCTCCTGGGTTTTTCTAATCATGGAATCCGGTGACTTAATATCAGCATTTGTTTGGTTCCCATTTTGAGTATTTCCCCTTTTAAATTTTACTTTTTTGAACTGACTTGCCTTTGTCTTTTCCTGGTGGAAATGCTTACCATTTTGAGTTCTCTTCTTTTGTACCTTATTGAACTTTGCCATTACAAACACAGTACACTATAACAACCTGAAAAAAATAAGAGCAATAAAATTATATATATATATATTTATATGTGAGAAGTTATGTTAGGAACATACCAAATGACTAAAAACATTTCAATTATTACTTAATTCCTCTTTCCATATACATTCTACATGTAATATATACAAGTTTTTAACACAAAATATAAAAGAGTGAAATAGTATTAGATTAACTCATAACATAAAAAATAATAATAAAAAAAAAATTACCTACAAGGTAATACAATAACTGAGAGTTGAATCTGAACCTGCTATCATAAATTAAATAAAATATTACTTGAGAATTTGTTGTATCAATAGCTTTAACTTTACTGGAAAATACTTAAAGACTGTTGCATAGAGTGAGCAACTTTACAGAAACTGATTTAAGAAATGTTCTTGAGCACTAGTGTAGCCAATAATAACATAAATCACTGGCCCATATTCCTAACGTAGCTACACCAGCCAACAGACATTGTAAAGTGACATTCAGCTGTGATCAGCAGGTAATCTTGGTGCTACACTATCTACTGTATTGTAGGACTATGGTGTCTAGTCTTATTATCTGCACTTTGTTAAGGATTTCCAATTTCTGCAGAGGGTCTGAGGGAAAGCAAGTAACTCAGTACCAGATTTGAATTAAAGGCCATATGAATAGATATGCTATAACTTGGCCTCTAGATATTATGGAATAAAAGAGTAATGGCAAATATGATAATAACAAGGTTTTTCAGTGTGAGCAGAAATTATCTCCGTCCTGGAACTGTATAATCCTGATCACAGGTAAATGACATTTAAAATACACTGACTGGAATAATGGCCAATGACACCCCCAGAGACTGTAGTGAGAGTGCCTACAAAAACTTTAATTAAACCCAATAGGACATACATGTAGGATTAAATCAGAAACTAGCTTATGTATCTTCAAAGTGGAGAGTATAATCAATACCAAACAACAAAGCTGACAAATTTTACTTTATTTCTAGGAGGAAAAAAACATACTGAGAAACTTTTCTTCAAAAATTAATTATCAGAAATTGTTCTAACTTGTGCACACACCCCTGCTTAGAAATTACCACAAACAACTGAACTTAATTCCATTATATATCATATTCCCTTCCATTTTATTAAACTAAGAACAATATTGGGCTTGATGCTCAACAACAAATTTTCAAACTGGCATTAGGCTTATTGCAAAGGGACCCTACAGGTGACCTCCAAGGAATAGCCTCCTTAGTTTAGGAAATATAGACTAGACTAGACTAGATTAGGAAGAACAACATGGGTTGGGTTTGATGACACAAGAAGTGGTCCAAAGGAATGCAAAGGAAATTGGGCTCCTCTGGTTAAGGAGATATATAAGCTAGGATAAGATAATGTTTAGGTAGTATAACATTTTTTTTCTGATACTTCTATTGTAATAAAAAAAAAATGTTAGAAAAGTATTTCCATGTATGAATCTCTAGGAGGTTGTAATTTTTCTGATATGTCTCATATGTCCCAGCAACAACTATCAAATTTGTTCTGATAACATAAAACCCATCAGATACATCACTCTTAAACAGACTACCATAGTAACTTGTAAACTCAATCAGTGATGGTTAATGCAGGCAACAGCACATAGCCATGTCCAACGTTATTTTCCATCCACAAGGGTCCCTCATGGCAAGCCACTGGAAAGGTCCATCTATAACTCCTCATGATAGATAAAGCCAATCAGCCTAGGCCATGACTTCCTAGGTAATCCTATGGGTTTCCTTCACCCAGGGTTGTCTTGGGGAGAAACCAACCCAGTGGGCAGGGTCATCTAATGGGAAGGTGCTCATAGAGCCTGAATTGGCAGTATTGGATCATGCAAATAACAGATGCTATACCAGTCTCACGGTGTATCCACTGGCTGGATACATGGTCCTGGAATCTGATCTGGGAAAAAGACCTGTCACAAAAGCCATTAAGACAAGTCTTCAAGACATGGGATAGCATCTAGGTTTTACATTCATTAAGCAAAACTAGCAGCATCTAGGCCTTGAAGACATACAGTTTGGCCCTTTTAGACAGATAAAGGTATCTCTAAATACTCTTGAGGAGAGAGTTCATGCCACGGGGCAAATCCATCTACTGACTTCCTAGTCTGACAGATGTATATACCACACACAACTTAATAATGGTTTTCAAATCTTTTCAACAATTCTAAGAGGGAAGAACACAGAAAGAAAAACCAGTAAAGTACAAAAGTTCCAATATCTACTCATTACTCAAATCTGGCTTGTCTTCAATATGCTTCTCTACCAAACAGCACTCTCCTCTCATACCTGTGAGTGCAAGGCCTGTAACAGAAATTAGGCATTATTTTAACTTCTACCTAAAAAACTTTGATTGTTCTATCAATTCCATGTACTTGTTACTATGTAATATGATTACATTCAATTTTTTTATTACATTTAAAAAAATCATATTTGCCCTATCATGTTCTTTGTATCTATCATACCCTCTTTATCTATTCCTGCTGAAATCGTCATTATTGTTTGTAATGAGAATGTATGTTCCATAGAACACTGCTCTCAAAGGAATTAGTACAATTAAGAGTAAAGGGAATTTCATTTAATATGATATAACAATAGTATAGTCATTGATGAGAGGCAAAGGTTAACACTTTTTTGGATATTGCACATCAAAGTATTCCACACAACCATCTGATGGTGTTGTAAGTTACTGAGTAGTCTAATTGTTGGATAAAAAATATACTTCACAATATGTTTCCTAAAATTTAGAATCAAGTCATTTGATATAGGGGAGACGTTGCAACTCTGATGCACGTTTTCAGAGAATGCAATTTACTTACTACAACTATAGAATAAAACACCTGATAAAAATATACATATTTGCCAACTTAGCCCTAGATATAAACAGTGAAAAATAAGATAATGAACTGAGTGATAAAGATTGAGAAAACATTAATGACTAGCCCATGTATGGTCTCCAGAACTGTCAGTGTTACCCTACAGGCCAAAATACCTCTTTTTTCTGGCATGATACAATTGGTAAACTCACTGGTACTTTATTCCTCACTGGTCAACAGTATGCAATGAAGGTTTGGTGTCCTTTTCCCAGAACATAGAAGATAAAGCACTCACTTGAATCTGCAAATTCTAAAGTTAGACTTCAGATTATAGGCTTATCACCAAAGATCACAAGTTTCAAGTGAATCTTACCAGAACAAACCCACTACAGATACAAGAAAGAAGTTCCATTTTGAAAGCTAATACGGAGGACTTCTATTGTCTTACCACCTGAGAAAAAAAATGTAAAATATGTCAGCTGTTGTAGCCTTAAAAAAAAAAAAAAATCATGGTTTACAATGATATTGGTATCAAAGGCTTCCTCTCACTTCTTACTAACATACATGGATTGATGATCTCGAACCAACTACCTTATAATATCAGAAACATTCAGAACTCAAATACACTCCAAAAGAAATTAAAGGAACATCTCTTAAATCGCCAATGACATCAGGTTTCAAAATATGAGAATAGGCAAGACTTGTATTTACAATAATTGATACTATGTTAAACTTATATTCATATTACCATAATATCACTATCTATATAATATGAATCACCACTATTACAAATGGAATATAGTATTGTGAATTTGAATCTGAATTATTGAAAAATATTGGACTTAGAGCAGAAAGACTCTCCAATAACCAATAATCTTGGCTCCTAAATCAGGGGACGGCAAAAGGTATGAGGGAAATTACAGAGCAAAATAAGCTGTATAAAACAATAAATTTGCATTCTCATTTGCAAATGAAAAAAAAATTACATTCATTCCATCTTCGGTATATATCCCTCATTGTAAACAACCCTGCCCTCTGTCCTGCTATGTATATGTGGAACATATTTGTCTCTCAGCCAGTAGTTTGGGGAAGGGAACTGTGAATGGATACAACTTCTTCATATCTTACCCTACAGCATTCCTGATTAATTTATGCCTTCCTGCTACCTGAGACAAGGAAGTTTTCAATTACTGGTATACCCCCATAAGAACAAGAAGAAATGACAGCACATTTAACATTCCAAATTCCAACATTTAATTCAAGTACAATAAACCTATCTGATAACATAGAGAAAAAAAAAAGTATAATCAAGCTGTCTCCTTTAATTTAATGATTGGCGCAAAGAAGTACTACATGCTTACATATACGAAGATCTTGCCAAGTTAAAAGTTAATTGACATCAAACATTTAACAAGAGAAACCCAACAAATAGGGATCGAGGAAATACGGAATTCTTGTCTAAAATCATGTAAAAGAACCACATATGTAGAATTATCTGGAAAAAAAACATAATGGTAATGGATTTCGAGAAATTTCATGTTACGATCAAACAAATTTACATCGAAAGGAATATCTGTTTCAGACGAATTGATATCTCATACCTTTCAGTCGTAAAATAGTCGACTACAGAATGAGAGAGAATGGAGACACATGTGTCCTGCGGCCGCATGCGAAGATACTACTAACCCAGGGATCGTTAGTATAAATGTTTATGCTATCGAAGGGTTTCATTGACTGATGTTATTCATCATACAAAGTATATATGGATGTATGCATGTATGTGTATACAAGTGGATATGCATATATAAGTATATGCATACGTAAATATGTTGATATCTATATCTATTCATCTATCTAAATGTATATCTATATTAATATGTATATTTACACACACAAACGCACCCACACAAACAAACAAAAACAAACACACACCACACACACACACACACACGCACTCACGTCACACAACACAAACTCCCTCTCACAAACACACACACACACACACACACACACACACACACACACACACACACACACACACACACACACACACACACACACACACACACACACACACACACACACACACACACACACACACACACAACACACACACACACACACACACACAACACACACACACACACACACACACACACACACACACACACACACACACACACAACACACCACACACACACACACACACACACACACACACACACACACACACACACACACACACACCACACCACACACACACACACACATACACACATGATATATATATAATATATATATAAGTACACACCTACACCATATATATATACTACATACACAGTAATATATATATAGCACATATATATAGTATATATATATAATATATACTATGTATATATATATATATATATATTTATATATATAGTATATATATATATAGTATATATATAATCATATAGTATTATATATATCATATATATAGATATATGTATATATATATATATACATGATATATAGTATATATATATATTATATATATATATATATTATATATATAATTACCTCTATATCATATTATATATTAATATTGTATTATATTATACTATATATATATTACATAGTCATTTATGTAGTATAGTAATATATATAATATATATATAATATATAATAGTATATATGTATAATATATATTATATATATATATATGCATATATAAGATATCTATAGATATATATAGATATATATATATCTGGAATATCATGCCCAATATATAATTATGTATAATTAATTATATATATATATTGTATACTGTATATATATACATACATATTATATATATTATATATATTATATATATTATATATTATATATATATATTATTATATATATACAAATATACTACATACACATACACTCACACCCACACACACACACACACACACACACACACGCACGCACGCCACGCACGCACGCACGCACACGACGCACGCACGCACGCACGCACGCACGCACGCACGCACGCACGCACGCACGCACGCGCGCACGCTACGCACGCACACACACACACACACAACACACCACACACATACAGATATCACAGTGGAAGGATGGTACTCGATGCAAAGAATATCTAAGGCGGATACCGATTGACTGGATCGATATTGAAAACTGGTTAATGCCAGTCAATACTTATATACATCGATTTCTTTGGAAGGCAGGTAAAGCAATGCAGATACCAATACATGCATTGCCGATTCAGCATCGGCATATTTATTGTAAGAAAATATATATATTTATATATATATATATATATATATATATATATAATATATATATATATATATATATATAACCCTAAATATGTGAACATGTAGTAATATTTCCAACAATTTTCTTGGGAGTTATACTTGCAGATGTATATATGCTTACATTATTCAATACTTTTATAAGTTTACATTACCAACACATTGAATTTCAATGAATTGTTAATAAAAAACATTAACTTTTTCTGACATATCCAGCTATGGCTGGATATGTCTGATGACCCTCAAATAAACCCTGGTGACCCTCATTTGGGTCGTGACCATGGGGTTGGGAACCACTGATCTAGAGGAAGGCATTGAATAAAACATTAATTCATGGAAAATAATGTTTATCAACAAATGTGACAGAGAAATGTAACATATATCTTCATAATTTCCTTGTCCCTTTTAATCTTACTTCATTATTTCCTTTTGTAATAATACAAACTCAACAATATTTCATTCAATAGATACTATGAACTGAAAACAATAACTTTTTTTACACAGTAAAATCATAACGCAATCATGTCAAACCTTAAACAATAAAATCATAATGCAATCATGTCAAACCTTAAACAGTAAAATCACGATGCAATCATGTCAAACCTTAAAGACTAAAATCATGTCTATACACGTTATACCTTGCAATCTTAACAACAAACTGTAAGATATAAAAATAAATACAAATTTCTCTCATAGAAAGAAAGCTAGTTCCTTATTAAGTGGACTTTTCTTGGGTTTCTTCCATTTTTTTCCCCTTAATTTTCCTTTTTTCTTTTGTAACTGCCTCCCTTCACTGCTGATGGAAACATTCTTAAGCTAGAATTACCACTTGTGCATCTTGTACCTGTAACAATTAACAATATTTCATTGTAATTCTTCTCAATCTATTAGCACTACAGAGAAAAACATACTGGAAAAAATATGTTATAGACAGTGACCAACTCACTGATTTAAGTTCTGCATGCTGGATCCAGTTCTTCAGCAGATGCATTTGTCTACCTTTTATATCTGTTGAAGACCAGTAAAATTTTGTGTAAGTTATCTTGCCTTCCATTGTGATACCACAAAATCTTTTCTGTAATATATGTTCTTTTCAGAGAAAATTATAAAAATATATTGAAGAAAGTAATAGAAAAACATATTTGAAAACTTCTGAGAAGGATAAGGAAAAAATAGATAAGGATGAGGATGACTGATGATGCAGAGGAGGCAGTACTGGAGGAGGTTGAGAAGGTGGAGGTGAGAGGTGGAGATGAGAGGAGGAGGAGGAGGGGAGTGCTGAAGAGGAGGAGTGAGGAGGAGGACGGAAGAGGAGGAGGAGAGAAGAGGAGGAGGAGGGTGGAGGTAGAAGGAGGTGTGAGGAGGATGGGAGTAGAGCAGGGAGGTGGAGAGGAGGAGGTGAGGAGGAGAAGGAGAGAGGACAAGAGGAGGAGGAGGAGGAGAAGGGGTTGGAGGAGGAGGGGGAGGGGGAGGAGGGGGGTGGAGGGGGAGAAATGGGGGTGAGGGGGGAGGAGGGGGAGAGAGGAGAGGTGGAGAGGAGGAGGGAGGAGGAGGAGGGAAGAAGAGGAGGGGGAGGAGAGGAGGGAGAGGAGGAAGGAAGAGAGGGGGAGAGGGGGAGATGGGGGAAGAGGAGGAGAGGGTGATTCTGAGAGGGGGAGAGAGAGGAGGTGGAGGAGCGAGGCAGGAGGGGGGAGGAGGAGGGGGGAGCGAGGGGAGGAGGGGGGGAGAGGGGGGAAGGGGGAAGGGGAGGAGGGAGGGAGAGAGGAGGAGGAGAGGAGGGGAGAGAGGAGGGGGGAGGGAGAGGGTAGGAGGGGGTTGGGAGGAGGAGAGGAGGAGGAGGAGGAGGAGGAGGAGAGAGAGAGGGAGAGGAGGAAGGGGAGGGGGAGGGTAGGAGAGGAGGAGGGAGGGAGGAGAGGGGCGGAGGGAGGCGAGAGGTGTGGGAGGTAGGGGGGTGGAAGAGTAGAGTGGGGGCGAGGAGGGGGGGTGGGGAGAGGGAGAGGGGGAGGGAAGAGAGGGGGAGGAGATGGGGGAGGAGAGGAGGGCGGACGGGAGGATGGAGAGGGAGAGGAGGGAGTGGAGGAGGAGGAGGTGAGAGGATTGAGGGGAGCTATAAAGGACGAAGAGGGGAGGAATGAGACAAGTACATATAATAGACAGAAGAGGGGAGAAAAAGAATCAAGGCACATTTCTAAATAACAAAAATAAGTTCAAATAATAAATCAACACATTTTCTTGCCTCCTCCTGTTGTCTCGGGGTAGACATGCTACTACCATCACTCGTCTTTTCTGTCTGGATGTCATTAGAACTGAGTGTTGAAAAATCCTCTGTAGATTGATCTTTTTTCAATTCTGACCTCTCACAATTTGCTTTCTCTTCTTCCTTTTCCTTGACTGACTTTTGTTGGTTACTGTGTATTGTCACAATCTCAATGTTCTTGTCGAATCTCTGAAAGCGAGATTCTATTAACATACTGATACAAATAACATACAATCCACTTTATTAAATATTCCTTTAAAAAAATAGTATGATGTACAATATTCTTTTCTCAAGTGAATTACAAATATTACAAAAGGTATTACACCATTGGAGCAAAACTTTCCCTTAAAAGTTTAAAAACTTGGTAGGTTTTAACCAATGCTGCCAGAAAATGTATTCACTGTAGTATCCTTTTGTTTAATTTCTTTCCAAACAGATGGCTCCACAAGTGTTCAGCCACCAAGGGGTCAATCAGTAGACTTCTTGACCTCATGTGATTATTATAATGTCATTTATATTACTAAAACAAATTCAAGATAATGAAGAAAAAAAAGGGAAACAGTAAACAGGTTATACTAGTAACTGATTGCTGACAAAGTATTTGCAGAGCCATCTATGTGTAAAGACAATTAATAAACTAAACACATAATGAACATGGTATACACATAGACACCATTCCCAGCAGCACTGGGTGAATAAATTAAAAAGAATTCTTAAAAACTCGTATTATTTTCTTTACAAAGATGGAGCTAAAAATACGTTAAATATGAATGGAAGATCATTGACTACTTGGCACTAAATCCTAATAGTAGAAGAGGGGAAATTAAAGCAAGACAATTGCCCGGAGGGAAGAATGTGCTATTGTAAGTACTTGAATATCTGTTAAGGAAAATGTAAGAAACAAAGTTTCTTAATCAGTCGGCCCAAGCTGTTTAACAGTGCACGAAAGACTATTGGAAATACAATTCTGTGCACTATAGAAATGTTTAAAAGTATGTCCAATAACTGGTCAAATCAGTCAAACTGGTAACAAGAGGATGAGGACTGAATCAAATTCCATCACTCATCAAGTCTAGTTCCTCCCAATTGGCAAAAGAAGGGTGGTTCCCTTAGATAACCTTACTAAAACTTAAACAAGTAACCTCTATAGGTACCTGGCCAAATACTTGGCCCATATGATCCCATCTGTTTACCTCATTCTTTTCATTTGGGTGAAAAGTCTTTATTTCTATCATCATTATTATCTATATATATAAATTTCTTTATCATTATTATCATCATCAATGTTATCATCATTATTATTACCATAATGCTGATAACAATAAGAGTGATAAAAAAAATAAACCAAAAAAATAAGGAAATGAAGTAAACAGTTAAAGTCCTGGTTCCAAAGCATTTGAAACTACATATGTGAAAAGAAAAAAAAAGAGCCAAAAAGAAAGAAAAGAAAAAGATAATCATGTATACATTCATTCTCAGTCTCATCAGGTTAATTCTATGGCTTATACAGTACTGTACATTTACTAATCTATTAGCTTTTGATGAATTTTTGGTCACAGATGGTCAAAACAAAGCTTTAACTACTTTATCAACCTAATTGCCCTACTAATTGACTTCTTGGTGGTTGAGCAGAGAGAGAGAGAGAGAGAGAGAGAGAGAGAAGAGAGAGAGAGAGAGAGAGAGAAGAGAGAGAAGAGAGAGAGAGAGAGAGAGAGAGAGAGAGAGGAGAGAGAGAGAGAGAGAGAGAGAGAGAGAGAGAGAGAGAGAGCAGAGAGAGAGAGAGAGAGAGAGAGAGAGAGAGAGAGAGAGAGAGAGAGAGAGAGAGAGGGGGGGGGGGGATTATGTAAAGCCAGGGCGAACAGGGTCACGAGGGTAATAAGATGAGATGAAAACAAAAAATGTGATCATCATAACTATTACGCTTTCAAATGATGGGAGTTCTGATAATTTGTTGACTTGGTTTAGGTATGAAGTTGATGCGACATTAGTTCTTCTGCCTTCCTTTCTTGGTTCATACTTATAATATTCTTTAGCAGCATTGTTCTTCTGGAAATAAACAATCATAAATCATATTCATCTGCAGAAAAACACTGCAAACTTGAAAATGCAAGACCTACAATTATATATGCTCCCTTCCCTCCACATATAAAATATATTGAGCATAATATATATCAGCAAGCCAAAGAGTGATACACATTATTCCCTTCACCATGTACAAAATTACCTTCTTCTGCTTAGGACCCCATTGCTTTCGGCAAAGCATGTAGAGACTCATT